TTTGTAGATCAGTTTCTCCACGCATGGCCAAGAAATAGTGTTTAGTGTAATGTTAACATTTATAATATTGTAATATGTATATAGTTGTTTCTAGCATGATGTTAAGACACTTTCAAATATGAAAGATACAAACATGTATGAGAAATAGTTCTTGCCTCTGAGGAATTTACATTTCATTGAGAAGGATCAGCAAAACAAAAGAAAACAAACCAATCCCAGAAAACCAAGATATTTAAGAGCTTTGAAAGGCTGGAGGATGACTTAAATAATTCTGCTTTGGGAAATGATAGAACTTCTCACCTAAGTGAACATTTGAATTGGTTCTTGAATAAAAAAAAAAAATGTGTGAGGTTACTGGGAAAGGGAGTCCAAGAATAGAGAAAAGCAGGAGAGAAGACAGTGGACTCTGCATGTGCGGGCTGGCTCTGAGAGGTCTTTGGGAGAATTAACAGCTTAGATGGATGCAGGTACAGAACTGGAGATGGACTATATGAGAGAGACAAGGATGCTGGTGAGAGTTCTTACTTGGAATGGCTAGGGGAATGAGCACTCCCAGGGAGAGCATGTGAAATGTAAATGGGAAAGGATTAAAATGTAACATTGTAAACAGGGACCTCTACCACTTAAGGGAAGGGAAGGCAAAGAAAAAGGAGGGACAACCTGGCTGGTGCGGCTCAGTGGTTGAGCACTGACCCATGCACTAAGAGGCAGCCGGTTTGATTCCTGGTCAGGGCATAAGCCCAGGTTATGGGCCTGATGTCCCCTGTGGGGGGATGAAGGAGGTGGCCAATTGATATTCTTTCTCATCGATGTTTCTACCTCTCTCTCCCGTCCTCTCTCTAAAATCAATAAAGAGAAAAAGAAAAAGGAGGGCCAGCCAATAAAAGAGAATGGGGAGGAAAAGAAGGAAGAGGAGGAAATGAGAGTAGAGTCCTGGAAGTCAAGAGTTTTCAGATGATGGCAGCTTAGTGATAACAATGCTGAAATATCTGAATGAATGAATGAAGGTTGAGAATAAACCCCATAAGTACCTGTGATTTAGTTAAAACAATTTTAACTGTACTTGAAGGATGGAAATCAGAATGGAAGGAGCTGAGTTGTTAATGGGAGCTGATGGAAGCAATGTAGGATCTAGGTTATGTTTTTTCATCAGTTTGGTATAGATATGAAGAAGGAAGAGAGGATGGTTGTTGAAGAAGTGAGATAAGAAGAAAAGTTTAAAGAATAAAAGAGGAAAATTGACATTTCTGAAGCACGTAGTGTGTATGGAATTTTGCTAGGCACTTCCGACATGTCATCCTTGAGCATGTGTATAGGCTAACAGGAATGAGTAAGACAATGGAATTATAGGAGTTTAAAAATAATTTTTTTTCCTTTATTGATTTTAGAGAGAGAGAAAGGGAGAAGGAGAGAGAAAGAAACATTGATAAGAGAGAACATCAATTGGCCGCCTCCTGCATGCCCCTCACTGGAGATCGGGCCCACAACCTGGGCATGTGCCCTGACTGGGAATCAAACTGGTGACCTTTTGGTGCATGGGTTGACACTCAACCACTGAGCCATACTGGCCAAGAGGAGTTTTTTTTTTTTTTTTTTTTTTAAAGGGAAATTAGAGAAGATGATAGAAAGAGGGAATTTATCTTTCCTAGAATAGGCATCGTGGGAATAAATTTAAAGAATGCAATGCTTACATCTCTGGCAGCAACATTTCTGGAATTTTCTCATTTTGGGTGTCTGTCTGACCTAAATAGAGGGCTTTTATAAAACAGAAATAGACTTGTTAAAAATGGCAGCTTGAGTTTAATAATAGCAAATGTTTATAAAATTCTTACTCTGTGCCAGACACTCTGCTAAACACTTTATATGCACTGATGTCTTTGCACAACAAGCCAATGGTGGAGATATTTTTATCCCCATTATATACAGAAAGAAAGTGATAACAGAAAGTCACGTTCCTGAGGTCACAAGGCTAGTATGTGGTGGAGCTAAGATTTGAACCCATGCAGTCTGTGACTAGCATTTTTGGTTTTCATCCCTATGCTAAGTTGTCTATCTGATAATATTTCTGCATGAATTACATACGTATCCCTAGTCCACTTGCTCTTATTCTGGACTAAGAGTCAGAAACCGGCTCTCTGGTTTTCTGCTGTGCTGAAGGAAAGGTGCTCTCTACTTCAAGAAGCTCATGAATATCAAAACCTTAATCACGGCTATTCGGATGACATGAGTTCATGCTTTACAAACCCACTGTGGCCCTAGTCATATTAAAATCAAAGTTGCAAAATAAAGAAACATTCTCAGAAACCTTGTGTGTTTCATTTAGATAACAGTGTGCAGAATGAATTGAAAGATAAAAATGCTCAGCGTTTACCATTTCCTTTTTCTCTTTTAATTTTAAGCCCCGTGGTGTTACGGATGATATCATCAGGCAATTTGGTTTGAATATGTTCCATGCTGGACTGTCAGATTACCCAGCTAATGACATGCACACGCCTTGCCACTGTGACACTGCTCTTCTCACAAGTGGGAATTTCAAGTGACAGACTAAAGCTGTTTGCTATCAATTTTGCAAAACACATCTGCCAGATAGACAAGATTTAGTTCAGAGACTGAAATCGATTAATATTCTAATTTGTTACCTGTCATTAGAGTCATACTATGTCATGCCAAGTCAAAAGTGATAACCTTTAGGTAGCATATGCTCCTAAAGGAATTTGATTTTAGGGATACATTTTATTTTTGTTTCGTGTTGTTCCCTGTGTATAAATCCCATTAGGAATTTCAATAACACTGGCAGTAAAACAGTAATGGATTAAAATGAAAGTGTGAAATATGTAGTTACTTATTTTTAATAAGACTGCATGACTGTATTTACGATACCGTTTTTCTAGCACTTATTTACCACTGCAAAATTTTAGGTATTTCATTTGCTGTTCCCTAGTAAATCAAGGAGAGAACCAGCAACAGAACATCTCTATAGGTGTTACCCAAGTCCTCTGATAGTCTATTCTTTTAGATTGCTGGTCAAGAGCAAATCTCTGTGCAGTGGAAGACTAACGACCTCGTTTGCTTTCCAGTGCCACAAAAGGGACACAGGAATGGGATAGTGGCTTGGAAAGGAATGAAATGAGGTCACCAAGGGAAAGACAACAAGAGCAGAGTTTCATAGATACTTTTCCCCCCAGCTGATTATTTTCCTACTGATGAATAATTATGCTTTAATTTTTCAGCCTCCTAAGGCTTCAACATCTAAGGGCGGTGGTTCAGGATATAAGTTAAATTGAAATTCATTCATTCCTTCAACAAATTGATCTTGAGTACCTCATATATGGTGGGTACCCCAAGGGATATAATTATGCATAGAACAGACCCAACCGTTTGCCTTCCTAGAGCTGACATTACTTTGAAGGGGAGCCCGAATGATTAAAAAACAAATAATAAAATACATAGCATTGCAAATGGTGCTAAATAATATGGTGAGAAATAAAAAAGCAAGGGGAAGGATAGGAAATACTGGTAAAGACAGGATATGATAAGGTCATAATTTTAAATTGCATGGTTGAGAAAGTTCTAAGATGACACAAAAGCCTGAAGGAAATGTGAGGATGGGTTATGTGGTTACATAGGGAACATTCAGTCCTGTGGTCATAGATATTGCCATGCCTCTCATTCCGTTTCCTCTTCCAGAGAAGGAGATAGATTGAAGACAAGCAAATATATATTTGATTTGGTTATTCATTGCTTTCTCTGCTTCCCTATAACACATTTCTTTTAAAGCAAACATTTTGATAGAAATATTCAGGTGAGAAATTGCCTGCATGATGAGTGCATTTGGTTTCTGCCATGTAGTTATGAACTCAAACTTTTATCAAAAGTATCTGGATGAGTCCTGGACTAAAAGTCAGAAACAGAGCAGAGCAAGGAGGAGAACTGGGAGCTTGCATTTCCCATTGTCGGGCTTTATCAGTTGGTCCTTCCCCATCCCACTGGGTTATGGATCTTTTTACTAAGGATAGTAATTACTGACAACTGTGCTAACTGTCTCTCAGGTGTACTTGAATTTGTTAAAAAAAAGAGACAGATCAACAGGTTGTTAATTACTTGGGGGATAAGGAGTTGATTTCTTGTCTTTTTTCATTTATTTCTCAATGTCCTTATAGAAAAATTTTTATAAATTTTATAAGTCTCTCATCTGGATCACTGAACAGCCTGCTTTATATTCGGCCCTGGGCCCTCTAAACATTTTTGACACAATAGCAGGAATGATTTTTAAAGAAAATCTAAGTCGGATCCTGGGACACCTCAGTGGAAAACCATACAAAAGCATTTTATTTCCTCTCTGTCCCCTTTCTGATTCCACTTGCTATTCTTTAGTTTTACTTACATTATTTATTACTAAATGATGCATTATATATATTTGTCTGTTTATTGATTGATTGCTTCTGTCCCCACTAGAATGTAAGCTTTGTGAGGACCAAAACCTATTTTCCCAGCACCTATAAAAGTGTTTAGTACATAGTTAGTGTTGAAATATGAAGAAAAAATAAACCTATAGTTTGAAATTTAAATTAAATGCCACTGATTGGACTTCGTGTTGTACAAATAAATGAATACAAATTACTTCCTAATGACAACAATTTTTTTAAAAATTGTGCAAAAGATTTTCAAATATTAACAAATAAGGAAAAGAAAATCAAACTTGCAATTTTGAAGTACATTTTAGCTATTTCTTAGAAATGCTTTTTGCAATGGAACAATTTTGTAAATACAAATATCAAATATAGCGCAACTCATAAACATTAATGTTCCTGAGACACAGATATTAAAGAAGATAAAAAAACCACATTAAATACAAGATTTCTTGGAATACTCCTGTTCCAATAATAAAAAAATCAAATGTATGTTTATAGTATGCTATAAGGAATTTTGCTTTCTATCCAATGAATAAAATAATTTTCAACCATTTGTTTTTTACCGAAGTAACAATATGTAATACTCACGTGGAATTTTGTGTAACTCATTCATGAACTTCTCCTTCAGCTTAGAAAAGGCGTCTTCCTTCCCTCCTCCGGGACTGGCTGGCTCTGTGGCATTATTTGGTATAACAGTCGCAACAGTGCTGACAGGCGGGGCTGCCAGGGCCTCATGATGACTCTCGCTCACCATTTTAGGTTCAGGTGAAACTGAAGGGGAGGGAAGCAGAAAAGAATAATTCAAAATGGCTTAGCTGATCCCACATCAAAGGTATACCCGAGGTGGAAAACATCAGAGGGTGCACCTGCTCACTGGTAAATGGTCTATCATTAGCATATTACTTTATGTTGGTTCATGAAATATTTATGGAACCACAGTGGAGATTCTCTCCCAGTAGGTAAGACCAGACATAGTTACTGAAAGCATTCTTTCCCCACAATAGTTTGTAAACTCTCCATCTATTAGTTATTTATATAGGCAATTGTTTGCTGTGTAGGTTTAAATTTGTAACCCCTATCTCACTGGAAGGTATGAAACAGTTGCTGACAACACACATGCTCTATACTGAAACCACTTGGTATTTTCAAAAAGGAAAAGAGAGATCAAACAGTTACACTAAAAATGTTGATAAATGATAGCATACATTAAAAATAGTTGTAGTTATAAAGAGTACTATTATAACATTGAACTCTATGATGTCATGAACATTATACTAAAATTAGTTCTTGAATCTCTTTATTGGTGGTGCGTTTTCCTCCCAGTCCTTCTTCTTCTTCTTCTTTTTTTTTTTTTTTGACATTTACTGCAAATAATACTCTGATCAAAAATTCACTTGTCTTGCTGGGTGAATTTTTGAAGCCACTGTACACGTGGCGTGAGTGACTACGTACGCCAAGGCACTGATGAGGAAGCATGGCTTGTCTGTCCAATTATTTCAGTTCATTTCGTTTGAGTATATTAGTGACTTATTTTATTAAGTTAATTTATTCAAATATTTTACATGTTTCTTTATCTCCAAAACATTAAAAATCTAATCCCTAAGGTAGTCAATGAAAAAACAAAACACGCTTGACTTTGAACACAGAAGACATCAGTTCTAGCCCTCTTCACTAGCTAAATGAATTTCAACAAGGCATTCGACCTCAATTAATTTGCCGTTTGAAATATGACGAAGTGAAGCTTACCCTGCCTACGTTTTTCTTAGTACACAAAATATAAATATATAATAATATTTATTATATTTATTAAAATATATATTTATATTTCTAAATATGGGGAAGGCTTTCTAAAGGGGTTGAAGTAAAGTCATATTCTCCACTATAAACATATTCTGGACTTTAGTAATTTTACTGTGTGACTTAGAACTTCAGGCTGTGCTGGTGAGAGAATGGACATGACTTGGGCAGAACCAGACGAACACGAACAGGCCTGGGCGTGAGTAACTTCACAGTCTCAGCAGCAAGTCTGTTTTGATTTGCAAGGAAATGGAGTTAACTAGCAAACATAAAGAATTTTTATAGAATTCAACGCTTTTGTAAATTAATTATGCATACTTATGTATTTAGTAGAAGTACAAATGAAATAAGAATCATCTCAAATGTATGGGGTTATTACTAAAAGCTTAAACAAAATCCAGACATTTTAGATCTCCTGGGAGGAAAAGATGGCTGAGGCTAATAAAAACACATAATCAATTTTTAGTTTATAATAGATTAGTTCTCTCCTTTAAGCTTTTGGTTTTCCAAAAACTATATTAGTAGCTACTAATATAGTCCTGAGGGGTAGAATCAGACAGATATGGGCTCAGATCTCTGTTCTTCAGTTTCTTCATTTGTAAATGAGAATAATAATACCAAATTCACAGAGTTTTAATGAGGATGAAATGAGATCTATGCAAAAAGACTAAGTACAATGTCTAGCATGTGAGTTTGTTCCATCTATTGATCAATCAATCAATCAATCAATCTATTGATTACTCCCTCCCTCCCTATGATAGCACTTGGCAGCCCAGAATTTTGCAGATTGTGAAAAAAATGTATTTTTTTTTTGCAGCTCAAGGTCACTTTCCAGAAGCTATCCATGATTTTCTGATTCTGTTTAGCTTAGGCTCTTGTCCCCCTGCAAAAATGTGTAGTACTTTTTGCATTGTTGGTATAACTTATGTGAAACTATTGATATTGATGATACCTTAACTTTTATATTTCATGTGAGTCAGCAAGACTGAAATTACCTACACAAACCCATACATATGTATGAAATATTAGTATGTATGTATTAAAAAATGAATCTGTTCCTCTGTTGTAAGAATCACCAGCTATGATAGGCATTATTACTTAACTCCAAGGACTGTAAGGATATTTGAGGAATTATGGTTTATGGGATTTAAAGGAAATGATGTGTTAGATACAAATAGCTAAATGCAACTGTGTCATCATTACATTAAAGATATATTGTCTGTGTTTCAGCTCAATTTGTGTCATGTTCTGGAAGTGGGAGAGTATTGCTGGTTATCCATCCAATGTTCAATTTCTACCTCCAAGTGGCTACACAGTTGTTTATAGCTATTGTGTGTGCAGATGTTTGGGTCCGTTGCCACCTGGGTTGATAAATATTTCATATGACCCCAACCTGTTATGAAATATAAAACATTTCTACATATGAGTTGAATGATCTAAAAGACTATAGGAAAAATAAGACTTTTGTTAGAGTCAACATTTAGTAAATACACTTGGAGTTTACGCAATATTTTTTTAAGGAAGGAAAGAATGTTTTTATAACTTCCAAAAACAATCCTTTCAGATATAATGTATGCTTGGAAGATGTTTCATCAAAAGAGGTAAAAGTTATAAACTTTAGATTTTTACTGGCTAATGGTATTATCGCTATCATTTTAAATTTTTTTAAATCAAGATTGTAAGAAATAGAGATGTTCCTTTTACTTAATACATACCAGTGTGAAATTTTTAAAAAACTCTTTCATATATTATAAAAATGTAACTAAGGATCTAATATACTGATAAAGAAAGACTGCTTAATATTTTATTGTTATTCCTTCACATTTTCAGAGATAATATTTAATATTGTTTTTCCTTAGCAAAACAGAATAGTCACCTGGCTTTTGAAAATTCTCATTTGAGGATATAAGATGCTTATCAAGAAGCATTTTGTAAATGAAAAAACTTGCTAATTATTCAGTCCTGACTAATGTGATGACTTTAGATTCTCTTATCCACATCGGTGGATGTGGCATTACTTGCTTATTCAGGAAAATTTTTATATTCTGCTCAAGTCTTGATAAAATAACAGCCAACAGTTATTGAGTACCTACTAAGCCAAAAGTTGAGTACCTACTAAGTGGTTGATACATGAAATTATATAGTTCTCATACCATTTCCATGAGATAAATATAATTATCATCCATTTTACAGGTGAGGAAACTAAGGGTACACAGGTTATGCAATCGGTTCAAAGCAATATCATAGTAATTACTGCAGTTGGGATTTAAATCTGTCTTAACCACTACAGTATAAGGGACCTGTACACTATGTGATTAGTATCTGATAAAATTGTGCTTCTAAAAATAAATAAATAAATAAATCCTTTAAATATGTTTTTATTGCTCTCTGTTAGAGAGGAAGAGAAAGATAGAAACAACGATGTGAGAGAGAGAGACATTGATTGGCTGCCTCCCGCATGCCCCCTATTGGGGATCCAGCCAGAAACCCAGGCATGTGCGCTGACCAGGAATCTAACTGGAACCTCTCAGTCCATGGGATGATGCTCAATCCACTCACCCACACTGGCCGGGCAAAATTGTGTTTCTTGAAAGTTTTCTTCTTCTTTTTTTTTTAAACTACAACCCGTAGTAAGAGGTACATTATACACTGTGCTCCAATATACACAGTCCCTCTACCTATGCTATATACTGAATGAAAGTTTCACATAAAAACACTTGGCCTTATAATGTGTGAAATATTTTGATATATTCAATTCTGTTATGTTCTTTTTCACTAAAAAATTCTAGTTGTGCCTGAAAATTGTGTACATAAATTTTATAATGCACTAATGGTTTGAGAGTTACAGTTTGGAAAGACACTATAAGAAGGAATATAAGACACAAAAACACTAAGTGGGGCTAGTAAAAACTAAAGATGCCATTTATTAGGAAGCTACCATATACTAAAATGTTATCATCAATATTTAACTATAATATCCTCAATTCTCATTACAACCCCAAAAAGTAACTCAGCCTTATTTTACTGAAGAAACTGGGATGTGGAGAGGTTTAGTGATTTGTTCTACACGGAACTAGCCCGATCCACCGTTCTTTCCACTAGCCTACTCTGGTAATAACATTTAAGCATTATTAAATAATTAAATCAGTGCTGGGAAGGTATTTATGATTCTCTTCAAATTGGGCTACCAGTAAATGAAAAGCACAAGTCATCTTACTAATAGAAAACAGATTGCTTAATTTTAGAGGTGTAGTCATTTAGTTTGTTAAAGTGTAATTTACCATCCTGGAATATGCCAAGAAAATTATTGAATAGAAAAATAAATTTCCTTCTAGAAGTTCAGCACGAGGACATGAGCAAGGAGCGTTCAAAGAAATAAAAATCCCTCCTGACCAAAATAAAGTGTTTAATTTCATAAGTAGTCAAAGCTCTGAAAGTTAAAATAACAATGAGATAATATATATTAACTTATAAATGTGTCTAAATATAGATATAAAGGTGAAAGTACAAAAAAACTGGGCACTTGGGAAGGACAACAGATTAGAAAAATGCTTTATAGAGGCCAAAGTAACAACAAATCAAAAGCCATAGAAATGCTCATGTTTTTTCTCGGAATTCGCAATAAAGAATTAACCTTAGGTGTATAAACAATTTAATATAAAGATCTTTATAGTAACATTTATAATATTAGAAGACCAGAAACTACTTAACAGAATGACTTCTTAAATGATGGTAATCCATAAAATAGTGTTATTAAAATTATCTTAAAGGTGAATATTTACAAACCTGGAAATACAGTAGAGTGTTAGATGAAAAATATAAGTATGTCCAAATTGTCTAAATAAAATCTTTGGCATAAAGTGGTTGCAAAAATACATTTAAAAATGTTAACCTGGCCCTGGCCTGTTAGGCTCAGCGGTTGGAGTGTCGGCCCATGGACCAAAGAGTTGTAGGTTTGATTCCGGTCAAGGGCA